TCCCTTATTTTTACCTTCATGGTAATGATTTTTGTGGGGTGCACTCCTGAATGCCCCGCACCCCTCCTTAGGAAAATCCTGGATCCATCCCTTTTTTTAGTTCTCCTTATAGGTTACCTGCGCCATCTTGAAAGGTTGCGGAGTCTCTGCACCGAGACGACCGTTGAACCTGCTATAATAAAAATCTCTTCTTTCACACTCAACGGAAGCTCACTTTGAAGCAAAGCCAAGGCTACCTTTAAAGATACCGCAAGGAATTGTGGAGCGGCTTTCTTAGTTGACATGTGCACAGAAAGCACGTTATGCAGGGAACACTGAATTCATCTCATCATCCGTCGTTGACTTTGAATCGAAAAAGGACAAGTCCTGTGACTGCCAACATAAAATGATACACAATTTGCAAGTGCTACACTTATATAGGGTGAATATATCCAAGGTTTTCATAGATATCATTCAATTCTTAGGCATCAGTCGAAACTTTGTTATTGTTTTATCGCCTTAATTAAAATAGAATGCAAGGTCTAGAAGTAAAGCACCAGCTTAATGCTATAGGGAGGAACTAACCAAAATTAACGAGTCACTTAGTATAGTTAGAAGCAAATACTTTACAATACGTAAATAAGGCATATTGTTTAGTAATGCTGTGTGAGGATAATTATATCAAATTGAGATTACACAAGAAATGACCTTCTCGAAAACATTCATAACCTTTTTTTCCATAACAGACTGCCGTTTGAAAACACCTCTGCACCTGGGTATTTTAATTAAGAAGAAAAAATATAGTTTGTGCCGATGGATTAAAAAGGGTCAATCAATATTACTCAGAAAAACACCTGTGCTTGTGAGATCAGACGAGGTCGATGAAGATCAAAAGAAGCATGAATTTTCCAAGAAATGTGTAAGATTATAGGCCTCATGTGATAAAGGTTATATAAATGAGTCTTGTATCCGTCAGGATCCCTATCCCTGATAACATGACAATCAGCCTCATGGCAGACCTTCCTGAAAAAAAAAGAACAATAATGCCTTACAACGTTGTGAAAAACCTCACAAAAGAGAGTCATGACAAATGTACACCCCTTCGATAACGAACTTCTCTTATTGACATCATATATGTTGGCACGCTAATGATCCTGAATCAAAATTGGCAGCTTGGCAACACTATGTTGCCATACTATATGGCCACAGTTCAAGCTGCTTGGTGACAAAAGTGTAACTTTAGCAATCATGCATAACTAAACAAGTAAAACACTAAACAAGAACACTAAGATGAACATTACTTTCCGTGAAACTAGTTACAAGGAAAGTTCTGCAAGGAAACGTTCAAAAATGAAGAGGAATATATTTCTAAAATGGAGCATGTGGGTGATACTTGGCATTTACATGAATTTTTTTTCCAACTTGATTCTCATTTTTCTCTCATTCCTCTCCAACAGAATATAATTGTATTTTCGCATTTGAATATATCAATTTGGCTTTCATGACACAGGCAATCGTTGAGACTGTTTTCATCAGTCATTACTAGTACTGGTGTACCTATTGAATCTACATTTACGTAAATATCAATAGTCTCTTTCGAGTGACAATAACAATATATTATATATATATAATTTATATCCGTATACATAAATATATTTTTATTTCAGTGGAGGCAAAGAACTGACTATAGCTATTGTCACCATCATGTGACAAAGAAATGGACCCAATTTTATCATTTAAATTGCGCAAAGGTGCTTCGGTTTGAGAATTTAGTGGGAAAATCTCTCAATGAGTTCCGAGATGAGGATAACAGATATCTGTATTACAAAACCCGATTAGGTCAGCTTATGGGGGAGGTTTTTTTGCGACTGTTGTGCTACAATCCATTCATATTCGAGCATCCAATCTTGACACATTTATCAAACCAATCATGCTGTTCAATGACCTTAAACGAAAAACCGTCAATTCAATTTTGCAGCATTGCCACTAGATTATACTCTCGCCGCTAAAATCAACTTAGCGATTTTTCCTGTCCTGTAACTATTTCCTTTGATCAACAATAACAAAAAAAGAACATGGTTTCTCAAACTTGCATTTAATATTTTGGTTAGTATGTCCTATTAATTCAAGGACTGAAAGCTTCAGGGTCTTAAGCAGTCGGTACAAATTCCAAGATGAAAAGGATGGGCGAACTCGTTTCTTCTTAAAGGATTTACATCAATAATAAGTGGGGAACAAGATATTTATAATTATGTCATAATTATTTCTTGGTCAAAATAAAATTTTAATGCATATATTTACAAGGTGCACACACATATATATTGTGAGGATTAGTTTAATAAAAAAAAACATAGAAATGCTTTTGAAAACGGAGTTTATTTTTCATGTCGTGCATATAATCAGCTTTCAAAATTCATTTTTGAAAGTTATTTTTCCGGGTTTTACTAATGAATCCAAATTAAGAAGCTACTATTTCATTTCTAAAAGCAGTTCATGTTATAACGCTTTCACATGCAATGTAATATAAAACATATCAATAACATGATTTTAAGAAAAAAAGCATACCCTAATGTTTTTACATTTATAAAGTGTTTTTGAAATCATGTTCCTTACATAAAAGCTCAAACTATTTAAAAAATATATGAGGGAGAAAGCATCATGGAAAAAAATAGTAATCAATTAATACCCTCTTATCCTTAATTTCAAACTGATAAACTCAAATGATTTGCCCTTAGGAGTATGCTTTTGTGTTCATTAATGTGCCTCGGTTCAGCCAATCAGGATGCTAATGCGCCATTTGTTATCAGCGATGCCCGCTGGATTAGAAAGAAGTTTTATGGCCAAACCAACTTAACTTAAACTGACAATATGCTTCCTCCACTACGGATAAAATGTAGTTTTTGCACTTGAACATTGATTGTATATGATTACTACTCGTTCTTGCAACATTTCATATATAATTCCAAGTGTATATAACAGAAGACGTTAAATCAAGGCAAGAAACATGGACGCAAATGAAAATATACTTGATATAAATATCAATTTCTACACATTTTATTCGTTTCGAATTTTCACTTTGTGTCAATCAATTGTCTTGAAATGTCAGAAACAGCAGAAGCTTTCAATATAAGATAAATAGAAGATCGGTTCCACTTTAGTTTTTTATATACGAAAATTACACCTATGATCAGACCGACAAACACCATACATTATAGGCACTTTAAAAGCTGGACATCTGCTCTAGGAATTTCACTCAAGAGATTAGTGAAAAAGTTTAGTGCTCAAAGGGATTGGGGGTTTATTTTCAAGAGTTCGAAGACGTCATTTTTTGAGTCATTTCCATTTCAAGTCACCTGCCTGGTTGCAATTAACTTTACAATACGACAGACGTCAAGTTATTTGCATTGGCGATATTAATTCTCTGTAGCTAGTAATTCAACCATTTCAACCTGTTAGCTTTGCAAGACAACATCTATAGCCGTACTCATCTTCAAAATCTTGCCGCACGACCTTCCTCTTCCTCCACGATTTCGTATTTTTTCGTCAAATACACGCGTCATCAGCCACTTTCAGTTGAGAATAATTTATCCGCAAGCTGTCATCCTTCAATTCAATAATAAATCGCAAGTAACACCAATAAAACGGCTTTATAACATTCAATCTAAAAGTCAAGAATGGATCTCGATGAAAGCAATAGAACTGGTCTTTGTTTGAATAATTCCAACCCTCTGGAGATGCATTACATAGCAGTTCAGACGGTCGTATACAGCATATTACTTGCTTTTTCTGTATTAGGCAATCTTCTAGTGATTATAGTCGTGAGCAAAACCACAGAAATCAAAGCCACTGTTAATTACTTCATTCTCAACATGGCAGTATCCGACCTCTTGTTTACCATGATTGCAGTCCCAAGGACTATCGGCGAGTTGTTGTCGAAAATCAGCAAAACGTGGTACCTTACTGGGCTTCTAGGTAACATAACTTGTAAACTATGTTATTTCACACAAGACGTGTGTACTGCTGTGTCGATTTTGACACTTGTAGCAATTGCAGTTGACCGCTACTATGCTGTTGTGTATCCTATGCGCACTGGTGTGATCACATCAACTTTCCGCAAAATCCTCGTTACCTGTATTTGGTTGATCGCAATGGTATTCCATGTGCCATATTTTCTTGCCTTTCGCCTACAAACCGACCCTGTCTCCAAGGTTACTATTTGTATTTATCACTGGAAATACAATGTTTCAAGTGGTAAAGCATACTTTGCTTTAAGCTCCGGTTTCTTATTCATACTGCCACTTCTTGTCATGTCAGCAATATACACAATTATCCTTATATCGATAAGAAGCCGAAAGATCCCTGGGAATGCTAACAGTTCCAGTCTACGTCGACACAAGATAAAACGAAATCGTAAAGTCTTAACAATGGTACTGGCGGTCCTTTTTGCGTTTTTGGTCTGTTGGCTGCCCATGAATATATATGGGTATCTGCTCTTCTTCCAATGGTATATGCCAACGCCTTGCACGCAGCCATTGGAGAAATTGGTCATTTTGTGCATAGCCTATTCCAACGCAGCAGTAAATCCATTTATATATTTTGCCCTAAGTGAAAACTATCGTCATGCAGCATTACATCTTATGAGATTCAGAAAAAGGCGTCCTTCAAGACACCTAGAGAACACTATTACAACAAGAAATTCATCCTTTGCAACGCAGTTAATGCCAAAGAATTCGAAACGAGCCCTTAAAGATAACACTGAGCTAACAGAGCTGTCTAAACGTTACAAGAATCGCCCCGATAGTGCTCGATGTTGCTTAGTTGAGAAATCGTTGAATTCTACTTCAAATTGACAAGTTTTCACGGATTGCAAGAGACTGCGATGGTTTGAAGAAAAGCAGAGAAAACACTGACTTGTAATAAGCAATAAAAGCTACAAGTACATTCTGTACAAATTCTGTCATAATATTATCTAGCAGAGATCGTTATGTTCGACTGTAACAGATTTAATATGTGCAATATTCATTTATCAAATTTAAAGTGAGTAATTTCTTTTGCTCATAACACAAGCCAATATGACACTTATACGAGCATCAACATAACGTTTTGCTGTTAAATAGTATCGAATAACTGTATTTTATCGTTTAAAGGAAATTTTCTGCCTCTGGCTATTATCGTAAACCAATTAAGATTCTATGTGATTTAGAATTTGATCAGTAATTCATGTTTCGAGATACTTTAAAAAATGAAGTTTTAGCACCTCTAATTATTTGATTCATTGGGCTATAAAAAAAGATGTTTGTTACTATGCAAAGAGTTCTACAGTAGAAAGTAGAGGATCATGAAAATACGAAATAGTACTTAAGCTTATCAATAATCTTCTGAATTCAGTTCCAATGTCCAATTCATGTCCAATTTACAGTATGTAAGTCTGTTTTCCGTACGTTTTGCATATTATCTTCTAAAAACGAGTATCTTTTTTCTTTGATATTGATCTTAACATAATATAAACAGCTGTGTTAATAACCAAGGAAAATATAACCAATCTGTCGAAACATAAGACAGTTTTTTTTTGTCCATGAGTAAAAATACAAAGGAAACAACAAGAAACACATTTAAAAGCAAACACTTAGAGAATTAGCGTCTATAAACCAAAACAACCACAAGTTTTTAAGAGAAAGCTCAAAACAATGGCCTAAAGCATATAATTTTGATCAATAACAAAATGAATGAAGTTTTAACCTTTCTCATATTAGAGTTTTTAAATCTGTCTGAAAAATGAAAAATGAGCCTCTTTTGACAGAAACTAAACAATTTGAGTTATGATTTTGTTTGTTCCTTACAGCCTTTTGCAAAAATTATGAGAATTGTCTAAATATCTAAATATCATAATTTCCATATCCATATATTGTCCAGAACACGCGGGTTTGCTAGAATAATTCATTGTTGATATCAAGAAAATGTTCAGAACTACGGATAAGTCCTTCACCGCCGAAAAAAACTAAACTACACAGACAAAGGACAAACGGGAATCGCGTGGGATTACCCATCATGCAATTGATATTATGATATTTAGATATTTAGACAATTCTCATAATTTTTGCAAAAGGCTGTAATTAATAATTATAATAATAATTAATAATATAATGAAATAATGAATAAAAAAATTAATAATAAAAATTATTTCAAAATCGTGCATCTTACTTTATATATGAACCATTTTTCCTTTCCGTTAACTTTTAATGATAATACTGGAGGAATTCCCATCATGCTAGATTCTAGATTACGGTTTTAAATTGAATAGTCATATAAGCCCGCTAGAGGAAAAAACTTAAATAATTAAGTACATATTGTTAATTATGTCGATTTGGAAATCACCCCTTTATTCTGTTATGTGTATTGATTGTACATCTCCTTCTATATCTTCTGGAATTACAACATTTTCAATAAATGAAGATTTTCTTTTGATTGATGTTATATTTTTGGTTGGGGGATGGTGATTTCCGAGGGCAACATAAAAGTGCTCTAGGCTCCTATCGTGATCCAAGCTAAGACGCAAGTGGTAAACAGACAAGCTACAAGAAAAAGAAGAGGTAAGCGGAAACAATTATCTTTACATTTTAAAATGCAATTCAATTAAGACAATTGAGTGATAAAACCACATATACGTGAGTGCTAGCGATTTTTATCAAAACTTTGTGTAGTGTATGACTGATTCATGAACAATGCTGAATTGATGTAGGCGGAGTTATCATATTGGATTTAGCATTCATTTGATGAATTGATGCTAGCTCTTTTGAAATAAATTGGGAGCGATTCAAGTATGAATGAAAGAGCAAGAACAGTAAAGACAATTGGGGACTAAAATTCTGTCTAATATTTTCACACCAGGATGCTTCTTAGACAGAAAAATATGGGAAAGTAAAAAACTTTAGTCAAATCAATTAATTAGAAAGCGAAAGACGAAAGGATTCTTTAATTGTTTTTATATAAAAAGGGAGGGATTGCATATGGCTATAAGGTAAAATCAGTACACTTTAAAAAACACTTTTAGTCTTTAGGTGTGAAAATGTCCTTAGTCTTTTAGTAATGTTAAAACATCCCAAAATCTTTCATTTATATCTAAAGCATTTTATTAAATTATGAGTCAATAATGGCTTCATGAATATAAAGTATAAAAAGTGAGAGATGAAAAATCAGAAACTCTCACATGGCATAATGATTTGTAATGCTCTCAACGATATTCTGCTCCAATTAAACTCAATCCCAAATGCATTCTAAGAATAACATAGAATAGGTATATATTTTCTTCAATACCATGTCAGTCGACAATCATTGTGTAGCGATGGAAGACGAGAGGATCTATATAGGGAGAGTACAAAGTTCATGCGAAGGAAAGTCATCAACAGCTCTGCCAAGTTGCGTTCCAAATTGTGACAGCTAAGTTTAAAAATATATATATCTGTCTTTTATCTTTCTGTGGTAGACTTGGAGTCCTTAATGATCTTCTTCAACCTCTCTTTAAAATGAATGTCATTTGTAAAAAGAGTTTACCGCTAATTGCTCTATCGTATTATGACGTCACAGTGGGGTTAGATGCCTTGGAAATTATATTTGGAGCTATTATTCTTCTCTCAGAAGAGTAGAAAGTATTCAGTTTATCGACTCTTGATATATATCATGTGTGAGTGATTACTTATGTGCATTTTCTTTGATATGCAGTCATTCTGTCCCCCTCAGGTGACCTTGATCTTTAAGGTGAAAAAACAAAATGTTTTGGTGTTACGTAATTATGATAGCGACACAGTTGAGTCTGAACGACTACAATGTACATAGAAAAAATAAGAAAGCTAAATAAAAAACTAGAACAAAAATAGAGTCAAAACATCTAGCTGATAAAATATTAATCCTCAGTTTCCCATCTTTCAGGATGGCGGTTACCATAAAAAGAGCTAAATTTGACCTCGAGTGTCAATCCTTAACGTCTGCGCATATTTTTTATTTAGTTTCTTAAATGTCCACAGATTAGTCAATAGCTTTACAATATTTCACTGAAAAATTATCAGGTTCAATTTTTACCGAATAGTCTTAAGTTGCTTCCGAGAATAAGAAATAAATACCTGATTAGGCAATAGCCAGACATAAGCTTTAGAAGCAGCAGGTGCAGTGCCTTAAGAAAAACCGTGCACTTTTTCATGATCCTTAATCCAGCGTCTTTTATTACAATTTACCATTCAAATGATCGTTACATTTTCTAGTGTATATAAGTATAGCTTTGACATCTACATTTAATAGACAGATGTAGATCATTTAAATATTCTCACAACAAATCTCAATAGATGTTTTATTATGTATAACTTCAAGTTGTAAATACTTCAAAGTGCCAGAACATGGCCAAGAGATACTGATTTATTGGTCTGTTAGTGCTGATCATACTCCCCCATGTTGTAGATTGGCTTTCTTTTGGCGTACTTGGTTCTCAGCAAATTCAGCTTTTCCTGGGGCAGAAGATAGTAAAAGAAATCAAAGATATGTACAATACAAAAAACATTGTTGATGAAATTTAAACATAAGTAATCAAACCGCCAGTTTTTCAAGTACTTTTTGCACCTTATGTAAATCTTAAAAAGCAGATGTTCAGATCTTTCAAAAAAATAATAAAAACGAATGAAGTAAAAGGAATTAACATGAAAAATAAGAAAAAAAATGGAGATAGAAAGCAGGAATGATGTGTTTATTAAGTTGACCTCTTGATATAAACGGGGTTTGGGGTGTAAGTATATTTTAGAGTGATCGTATTCCAGCTTAAAATGTACCATAATGATGTTCTTTTGCACTTGGGGAAAAGTTCAGCTTTTATGATGTGTTTATCATAAAGACAAAAAAATAATTCGAAAAACAATCAGGTACTTCTCACTTACTTTTCACCTCGTATACTAAATGACTTTTTTAGCTTTTATTAGACAAAGGGACACTTGCCAGAAATGAGTAGGCTTTCGAAATGAAAAGAACATATATACCATCTACTGTTCCGGATAAAAAAAAGAAGAAAGGTGAAGCTACTCAAACTTTTCAGGCACTCAAAATTCGCAAAGTTGACTTAAAACACGATGTCAAATATTACAAAAGAATATTGGCTGATCATGAGATATTCTGACTATATATTAAATAGTGGTCTGCCATAATTTTACTGTCAAGGTGCCAATATATAAAGCATGGTTACTGCGCCTCGTTAAGCAAATTTACTAAACAGTACTGATAAAAKCCATGGTCCATTTAGCTATCTCTGTATGAATTCGAATTATTGGCTAAAATATTTGGACTTGTCACCTCCTAAATAAAGAGAATTACTAAATATTTGGTTAAAACGTGAATGTGATTGACTTAAAGCGTCCAAAAGTGCGTGGTCTGACGTAAGTGCAAAACATTGGCAGCGTGCTTCTATCTAGAAGATGATGTTGGATTCATTATTAGATATTTTTTTTTTTTTTTTGAAAACAAGAGAAAAATTATTCACACGACCAAAATCGTATTCGACTCTTCTTTCGATTTCAATAGAGTCGATAACATTTCAAAGATTTCACAAGCAGGAATTGAGATGCCGTGCCACTGCCGTAACACACACTGATACTGACCGTAACTGATTAATACCGTCAAGATATATACGGTCATTTTCAAACATTCTGACTTATTCCATTATAGATAAATATAGATAAATATTTACACCCTGTATATAAGGCATGAAAAACATGGAAAGTACACCCTTATATATTCTAGAAAACTGAAGCTTATTTACGCGATCCTATTCATACAGGACGTGAAAACCGAAAACCATACCATATTTGACTGGAAGTTCTCATAATAAATACAGGGTAACTACTCTTCACACTTCAGAATCACATGCCGGGCGATGACAGCAGTGACTGAATGAGTTTACTGGACGCTCCGCGCCAAACAATGTGAACAAGACATACAAAATCTAAACAAATTCCACAACAAAGATTCCAAAGATTTCTCTGTAATTGGCTGATGATTTTCACAGTGATTTTCACAATACATAGTAGGAATTAGAGCGCCTTTCTCGTTTTAGTTGGCTTTGCAACTAAAATACCACGTGACACGTCCTTACAAACGAAAAATAAATATACCAATCCACACACTTGCGCAACAGTAAACTTCCGATGTACTAGAAAAAAAACTGTTAAGTAGGACAAAATTTTGGGTATAAATTTTTAGTGGAATTCCCTGCTAAAAGGCCTTTAAGGCAGGTTTATGGCGTCCTGAGTATTCAAGAGTTCCTCCAGTGATACCGCGTATGTTAAACTGAGATCAACCCTTGTCATGGACGCCTAATTTTGTAAGTATAGTTCGTATTAGAACGAGGTCCGGACCTGAGATCACATTGACAAATGAAGGCCGCAGAATATGGCCCATGCATGACAACCTTAGTTTTACTCCATCTTTAGGTTCAGAGAAATTATTTCAGAGCATGCAGGATGATACTTGGTCGAAAAACACCCCTGATCAAAAAGATTCTCTTTGTTCCTACTTTTTCACAGCTTTTGGTAACAGTGAGGCTAGGATCGAGTCCTTTTATTTATCATATTTTATTTTATTTTCAAGAATGATCTGGGTGATTGATTTGCGACCAGGCCTGCATATGAATTCGCCAAGGTTGTAAGCCAGTGAGCCCTTGCATTTTTGTTAAGCGGTCATATTTGAAAGTGTAAATAAAGAAAGGAAAAACCCGCATCTCGCCTTTCACTCAGATAAACAGTACAAGTCGTGTTGAATTTATTTACATAACTAAACAAAATGATTATAAAATTAAACCTTTAAGAATTGAATGCTCATATGAAACATTTTCCACCTTAAATACACACGTGTTTTTCAGAAGGGAATTTAGTCGAACTTTTTTCAGAATGAAAAAACAAAAACAAAAACAAAACAAAACATGCATAGCACGACAATGAGTGATTTTTTTTGATTAATACTATCCGGGATCATTTGTTGTTGTTGTTGTTGTTTGTTTGTTTGTTTTGTTTCGTTTCGTTTTGTTTTTATCATTATCCTGAAGTATCCGCCATTTTAGATGAGAAAATTTTCAGTTCGAGAGAGACTGCAAACTAGTAGATATGGCTTCCTGTGGTTCGAGAGAGAATGGAAACTGCGACACGACAGATACATAGATAGAAAAGGCAGAACTATAGCTGGCTAGCCACAGCTAGCCCGCTAAAAAGGAAACTATTTTTATATAAAAATGAAAGGTTGTCGTTCGCGCGGGATACCTGTGTGCTTTTAAAATTTAGGCATCCATCAACGAATGTATGCCACTTATATTTGCAATTACATTGTAAATCATTAACAATTTGATTGCTCCAAAAATCTTTTCGCTATAATACCTGAACATTTCAGGCTTTTTAAAGCTCTAAAACTCGAGAACTTCGTATAAAATAAGTCTATTTATGTTCACAAACAAGCTAAGATTACCAAATATAAATGCTAAACGAATGCCTAGCTAACAGGGATCCCTGTGCTTTATAAATTTGTTACATTGTGATCCAAAGTGGGTGCTGATTTGGAACCTTGAAATGTCACAAAAAATTACCGAAAGCCTCTTACCAAATATGGCTAAAATAAAACTGGACATGCCCTAGCCTCCTCCCCAGACAACTCTTTTTTCCTCCTTTGGGCCTCCTTTGTAACGGTCAACTTGGCTTCAAGGTACTCGCCCCCTCTCTTGACTCCCCAAAAAKACAGAAAGTCCGTGATGACAAGAAAGATGAAAAGTAATTTATTTTCAAGCGTTTTTAGGTCTGCACTTTTAGTAATAAGAGAAAAAGGAAAATAGGATGGCTTTTTGCTTTGATAAGTCGACAACAAGAAAAAGATGATACTGTTATGTACAGCTATGTACGTAAAAGAAAAAAAAAGGAAAGAAGCTTAAGAATCTTTGTTTGAGTGGATTTTTCTAAAATGAAGTTTACAAAATGACGTTCTTGAGTAAGTGTTTATCAGCGCATTGGCTTAAATGAGTAAAGTAATGAAAGGTTTTTTGGCATGATTAAATGTGAGGGTAAGTATGGGTAATAATCATCTATTGTTGCCCAAAATTTCCACGTTTAGCTCTATGAGTCTAATGATGAATTGTTCAAAATTAATCTATACACAAGGAAGTGTTTTCGGAGACGGCCGGTGATGGTTATTGGAAATTTGAACGAAGGTCACACTGACAGGTGGAATTAATAATTATTATTTGCCATAGCGGTACTGTGCGTTGTATAAAGAATTGGTGCATATGCTCGTGATTATAGTATACTTTATAAAATTTTTGATATATTACGCGCGATCTGATTGGCTGACGTGTTTATATCAGAGGACAGAGACACGTCTTACCGGCAAAATTGTATTTTCGCTCAAAAAATTTTATAAAAGAAATATAAAATATATTTCTTAAATATATAACAATTACTTATAATATATCCGTTTGGTCATGAAACCAATGCATTCCTCAACTGATTGAAACGTGCTGTAAACTAGAGTGAGCTGCGTCGGTGTTTCTAAATAAATAGTTGTGAAAATTAGATAAATTAATTATGGTGACCAAAAAATTGCGCAATTGTTAACGCGATCAATTAACGTTTTCCTCGTCAACCTTCTTTGTTTTGAAATAGCTATGTATACCGCTTTATAATTGACTAAGACATTTCTGCAGCAGTAATTATAAGATCATACGAAAAGCGAAAGCGTATGTCTATGATGAAGACCAGGTAGCTTACGTGTTCATCATACAGCATACTACACACATACTATACGTATTGTACACTTTTTGTAGTCTTTCTTATTTGTCTTTTTCTTCGGTATTGATTAAATTTAAGACAATTATACTTTTCTAGGAAAGCCGCGATGTCATGTGTCTATATAGTCGCAAAAACGATATAAGCATGCTTCATGTACGGTGCTGAGAAACCTCTATAGATATTGGCTGAAACAGCTCTGCTCGGTTTATGCTAACGTTATTACGCATGCTCTTATGACTGACGAGACGTCTTAGCCGTGCGTCTTTGTGTACAATCGAGTTCGGTTATACGAATAAAGAATGCAGAAAGAAGACTCTGACTTTTGTGTTAGATTAAAAAATCAATAGATCGGATTTCAACATTCTTCGTCTCTAGGTCGACTCAATTAAATACGGTAAACAAGTGTGAGCTGCGTCGGTGTTTCTAGAATCAGTTGTGTAAAAAGATAAATTTATTACCGTAAAATGTAGGTGAAACAATTAACTTACTGACGTTTCGGACGTTTATCCTCCTTCCTTCTTTTTACACAACTCTGAATATTATTTGCCCAACAAAGACAAATTCAAAACAATAGTTATATAATCTTCATATAAAAAAATAGATATGATGCATATATATATTGAAATTTCCCTACATTCAATTTGAACTTGCAGAGTTCTCGTTTACGAAGGGTAGTTATGTTCAGCTTGTCATTTTTAATTTTTCGCTTCTCAAATACTCGAAYGAAAATACCAAGCGAACTTCATGATTTTTTATTGTTTCCGTCCATTGTTAACCAATATGCTCACTTCAAATGAAAAGCGGACATTCATCTATACGTTTAGAGTTTATTTGTCTTACAATGTGAAATACAATTCACATTCAACAAACAAAACAAACTTTAATCAATCATCTTTCGCATTACAAAGTAAACAAAAATATCAATCGTATCCATATACTAAACGCCATTTTACAACGAAACCAAATAAGTCCACGATACTTACTTTTAATATATTGTCCCTTTTCCCCGGAGGCATGCAGCCAAAGCGACAATTCAAGGATCTGCTGGTTTCTTCTCCTAATACTATCGAGTCGAAACTACCCAAAGCAGCCAGAACGAGAAGGAATAAAACTGCTGAACCACTAGTCTTCATGCTGTGAACGATATGTACGGGTATCTTGAAAGAAAATATCTGTAAGGAATAACAACAAGTTTGTTGGACGTTTAACGGACGAGTCTACTTAGGATGTCTTTGATGGAGCTCTAGATTCAAATGGTACTGTTTTATCAGTCTGCAGCTGTATTTATATTATCACATAGGACGTTTCACACGACAGGCCTCTCTCAATGTATATAAAGCCCAGAGGTATAACAGTTCTCATCAGTGGATAAGCCTGTAAAAGGTTTTCTGTGTTAATTGCTTGACAGTCAAAGGTTATATCGGTTTGATTCTGTTGATATTTCAGAAATATTCAATTAGTGTAACTCAGGCACCTGTTTTCATAGCTGTTTGGCAAAAGAAAAGAAAAAAAAGAAGAATTTTCTGTGATGCCCACGTATCATGTGATATGTCATGTACTTGTTGCATTTGTTGTAAATACACGTAACATTTATGATTACAGCTTATATGGACTGAAGTTTACTTCAAAATAAACACATCGTAAGGCTGTGATTCTAAGGACTGTGGATTTCATCACTCAAAATTTGAAGATGTTAGCAGTTACGCAATCACAAGCCATTATAAATGAAATATTCTCCAGGCGCTGAGGTGGAACTCTTCCATGTTTTGAAAAAAAAAAAAAAAAAAAAAACACAAAAAAAAAGAGAGAAGGAAATACTTCAAGTTGAAATTCATTTTCGTAAACAGTATCCATTTCCTCAATATGAGATTCATGTTGTCAGATGATATTTCTTTTTATTCTTAAAAATCGACCTGTGTAAACTACATCCATAAGTTATGTTCAGATTGGGAATTGAGTATTTTTCTAGTACTTAAGATGTAAGGATTCTCGTCGAATATATCCCAGGGTTAAACGTAGATAAACTCTTATCCAAGTGGGCTACTCAAAATCTCAAAACCACTAACTTTTAAGATAAATCAAACCATCAAATGTTACATACGCAAAACTTCAATAATAGTTATAGAACCCATTGTGTTCTCCAACTACCGTTGGTGATTGTTGTAGAAAATAAAAACTACCATTAAAATAGCGTGATAAACTCAAAGAGACTAAGCAGATTTTAACATCGCTTTTAGGACTGCTTTCCATCACAGCTAATATTATGCAATGCGTTTATTTTCTTATGCTTGTTAATGCGCACTATGATCGAAAAAACGCCTTTTTGCAAAATTTTGTCAGGATCAGTCGCTAAAGAGAAACGCTAAGTTCCTCAAACCATATATTGGATGTGAGTTGATTTTTCCATAATGTATATTTGCGCTCACAAACCCATAACAGAATGATATTTTCGCTTATGAACGTTTATGAAAAGAAATGTACAATATAAAGATTGAATTTAATCTCTGTTTTACTGCTTTGATAATATCTTTTGGACTCCTGTCATAATTACTGATTCTATAAAACCCTTCAAAAACAATTGATTGTTGAATTGATATGCCTGCATTCAGAAAATTTATATAGAGATGAAAAGTAGCACTAGATGAGATTATTTTTCATAATTCGATACCCTTGCCTGTTTTCTGAATAGCTTCATGAATTGAATACAATGATCGAAGATTTATCGAAAGGAGGTATTTTATGAAAACATCCCAAAGGCCTTGCGAGAAGAAATCAATTCGAGTCAATGTTAATAATGAAGTTTCCTCGTAATACTTAAATGACGCGCTTTAATATTAAATCCATCTTAAAGGGATCCTTTTCTTATCTTAAATAACGTTCCTGTTTTGCCGCCGGATCAAGTAATTTTAGCTGTGTACTAGAACTATTCACGCTTTAAATTTTATCTATAATTTCATTTTGAATTTATTTATTTTTTTGTATGTGTATGGCAGTTTGAAAGTCAATATAAGCACCATTATATTTCTCTATTCTTTGCAAATTGAATTTGATATATTGATATAGCGTTTGAACTGAAATAACATCAAGCCGTCAAACAAACCGTAGATGGAAGGTTTACAAGATGGCCGACCTTGAAACTGCAATAGAAACATTTGGACTCTACAATTAAATATATTGATTTAATGTTTCCAGTGCGTCATATCTGTTAGGCTGGTGCAGCAAATTGTGGGCGATATAATTTGTTCTTTTGATCATTGATTTGATTTTCTCTTGTCTGTTATATAGCAGCGTTAGTAACTAGTTAACACCGGAAGAGAGATACCAGAGGGCAGATTTGCGTTAAAAGAATACTTAAGAGTCACTAATTGTGTATAGTTGCAATTTGTTTTCATCATTTTCAGATTGTTTTCGCTTATCAGTGTATTGTTTATTATGTGATAAAGTCAAACTTTACACATATCTAAGACAGAATAAAAGCATCTAGCTGAATTATGAACTTATAGGCATTCGCCTTTACTTATAAAAGTCATTACTATGTGATATTGAAAATTTGACATTGAAAGACTTGAAAGGCGATCAAGTAGAATGACAGGGTTGAGTATTGAATGAGTTTCAGAAGAGCTTTAAAGAACGAGCGTGCGTAGTTTTGTTCTAGATGGTACTTGAGAAAAGCGATCGCGATATTAAATACAAATTATAATTATAAAGTGTTTTTTGAGACGAAAAGGTTATAATAACAAATAAAACAATAACATTTAAGAATTTTCCATTCAACTTAGATTTTCTACGAAATGATCAAATTATCACACCGAGGAGTCGTTCATTAAACCTTTGATTTTTTGACCTGAGCATCGTCTATTCTGATTCTTATCTTTTTTATATTTTTTTAAAAGCGTTTTGACTGATCGACAGTCGATTCAATTTGTTGAAATTGAAGTTTAGATCAAGTCTGATCGTGATGATGAGAAAGATTTTGAGGGTACACTGAGTTAAAATTCGTAATTTTGTACTTTAAAAACGAAAGAAGATAATACGGTGGAACGCTGTTAGTAGCAAAATACCGAGAACTATCGAAAGCTAAGAAGTAGGACTGAGCAGAGACTGCGGATACGGCTTTTATATAGAAAATTCATTTGCGTCGAATCCTAATCGGAGCGATATGCACAAGCGATACATACAGTCAGTGGCTCAAGTTCTTGTTAGATTGTTAGCGTATCGAGTCTATTGATAGTGTGTTAGTTTTGAAAATAATATTTCGGCATATGCGGTTGATATGGTCAGTGTACAATTTTTTTTCAAGGAGTTATAACTCCACCAATGGAGTTGGAGTACTGTATCTGGTGCTGGAATAACTTTAGAGAGAGTTAAATCTACTCTACAATGCGAATAGTTTTTATTCAAAAGGTTTAAATCAACTGGTAAGAATAGTAACATTCTCCAAAATGGATTCAAAATTGCTCTTAGAATAGTAGTCAGAATAACTTCCATAGTTGCTGTTCAAACGATCTGGTTCAAATTGGTTGAGTTGAATCTACTTCAGAAAATGCCAGTCTATCGGCGCGCGTGCCCGCGAGGAACGCCCTCTGGATTCAAAGAAGGCACCATCCCATCATTCAGCGCTCGCATTATTATCGTTGTCTATGAGAATAATTCGATCGTCTATTGCGCGAAAGGCAAAATTTAATGGTTTAGCTTATTAATATTGTGTCGGTTTGTAAGGCAAATTTTCACTTTTACTCGTTTAAATTTAAAACTGTGGGAATCTGAGAAGAAAAATATTCTCAGCTTGCAATGCTGTGTAGGATGCCATCCTTTAGTCTGAAACCGAGTGCTGATTGGCTAAGATCAAACACGTGATCAACTACTCCTCTTTTGGAGTTATATCATCTCCTTGAATATAATAGTGCGGTTTGTATCGAAGGACAAATTTCTTGCTGTACTGGGACAGTGAGTTCCATTTAATTGCATTCTTGCATAACGAAAATATGTCGTTTTCAATTTTTGTATAATCCATTGAGTTCAATCTGTTGACTTAGCAAACGTCTATTAAATTAATCATTTTTTCTTAATCTCAGCAAATACTCTCTGTTGTGAAGCTCTAGATACTATGCGTTCTCTCTTAACTTCATCGAAAATCAGAATGCATTACGGAGCACCACGCTGCAATGAATGAGACAAGCAGTCTGCAGACGGACCAAAAACATTACGTATATATTGGAGTTTGTACTCCAAGCGTTGACATTTTATGTATATTATCAACCACAAAAATACAAACTATCTATAAAAAAAATCTTCTTGAGATGTAGTTATTGATAATATACAAATATACCATTTATATACCAATTTAATCTCTTACAGAGGGAGCCGCGAGTAATGTTGCTCGATTTTGCACAGAGTGGACTAAATGGGTCATTTTAAGAAAATTATTCGATATTCGCATTAACTCCTTCAAAAAATGACGTTTATTCTTGTTTTACCATTTTCTTTCTTTGTTTTTCGTCCCACTCTTTTTCTTTTTATAAATACAAAATTGTTATTTAAAATGTGTAGTTTTCCAAGTGCGGCAAAGCATAATGACGTAATCCGAAAGAAACTCAAGCGGTACTGCCGTCTCTGATTAGATTAAGATCCAGGGGAATGCTCCAGATAAAATTGACCAGTTCATCAATGAGAGCCGCGGAAGTACTTACGTTGTCTCTCGTGTATTTTATCACGGAGTTAAGAATGGTTATTATCAGATTCTTGGAGGTATTAATTTCTACATTTCGTGTTCGAATAGTACGACCACCATTAAAAAAATCCGATTTTTTTTACCCATATCAGAGGATAGTGGACACTAATTCAAAGCGGTCTCTCAACCTACTTTTCGTTTGACCTATTATCTCAAAGGTATACATAAACGGTAGAACAATCTTTTACGGCCTTTCTCCATATGTGTCCAAAACTCATCAGAACTGAAGGGAGACTTGCATCACTGAATAAAGTGTCGCCCAGATCAGGTATCATTGATGTTATCAATACTAACCTAACCAAACTTAAATCCTGTTGACGTTCACAAACAGGTGTGACCAAAGTCCATTAAATACCGCGAACATTGTCTTAACTCGCTACATTGCTAGCAATGGGTTCTGTAATGAGGGCAGTTTTTCTTCTCTGTTTGATTGCTTCAATGGCAATTACAACAGAGGCTATGACGGCCTTTGCAAGGGAAGCTGCAGGAAAGCGTGGACAAACGACAAGGAAAATGGTATGTTCTTTTTGATACATTTGATGTTTATTCGCGTGCAAAATAGTCACCAATACCATTCATGATCAGCTTTGGATTCTTAGAGCTTTCATTGTGTACTCTTTGACTTGGAATTGACAACTAAATCTTGGAATAACAATTGGAGAAAAGGACACAATGGCTTCCACTTTTCCAGAGCCAAAAGACACAAAATCTATTGATCAAATCTGATTAAATGACAAACTGCAGTTTTAATTATTAGTCATTTTTTTACCTTTAAAGGGAAACCTAAAACCACTAGACGCCACCTTCAATCGGCAGCCATGTTGCTTGTATCAAGATGAATTTGGATTTAATCGTGATAATGGTAACTTCTGAACACACGACGAAAAGACACGATACGTCTGAATAAAAGCCAGATAAATTTTAAAAAAAGTTATTTTTAAGCATGAGGAGTATTATTCTGTGTAATAAATATATTTATAAATAGAACATATAATATACGAATAAAATATCATAAATAAGCTATTTGAATGAAATGGTTGGGAATGGGAGTATGGGCTTGCTTATAACAATCTGTAGACGGAAAAATTCCCTAGTTGTCTTCTCCCCCCCCCCCCCCCCCCCCCACCTCTCAACCCCCGGGGGGTACTCCCTCCCTAACTTGGGTGGGTGTGTGCTGCACGAACCTCACAACCCTTACCCTATCCCAGGCCAATTAGGTACAAACGTACATTATTTTAGCGCTGAAAGGGTGGCCTAGCAGATACGATCACAGGCAAAACTTCACCCTGCCCCAAACAATGACACTATACCCTATCCTAGACAAAAAACTACCTTATCGCAGACAAAACTACTACCCTATCCCAGACAAATGGGCAAAAAATGATACCCTATCCCAGACTTGGAGCTTCGAAAAAGGCGGACCCTATCGAGCGGCACATGTCCGTATAGCAAATATAGGCCTCTTGAGTCACAAAAACAATTAATCAACTTGTCGGGTTACAACTAGACACTCTATTTTAAAAGTAACTCGTTATGTAACAGGCCCTTTTATATTTAGCAAGCTCGGCAAAAATACCGTACAGTATCCTTAAATTTCTCTAAACTGAGGCAAAGGCATGCATTGAAAAAAGTTTAAATGGTCAGCATGTTAAAATAAGGTGTTGTCAGATTATCACAATAAATGACACAGTCATTCTATTTTCAGGGCGCGTAGCACCCAGAGAACACTAAAGTGCGGGCAGCACATGCAGCACACAGTAAAACGCACACGTAGAACAAATATTTCAAATAGCAAACGTAAAAAAGAGAAGTCCTTATGGTCAACTCGTTATCGCACGTGGAACACGCGCGTAGCATACCGTAGCACACTTAACGCTTAGACCACAGTAGCGCGGGGAACTACACTTACAACACAAAGAACAGGTAGTACGAGCAACACACACTCGTATCATACGTTACCGCACTGTAGTGCAGTGCAGTAATATAACAAGCACACAGTAACACATGAAGAACATGCAGTACATGCGACATGATCGTACTATGCGGTCATGATAGCTCATAAGTATGGAGGCGCGGAATTCCTTTAATATCCTTGTATGTTTTTGAATCTTTATTGGCTCATTCCTGTTCATTCCGGACCCTTTTTTCTTGGTCTCCGGATAGATCTACTGCTGGGAGCATTGTATAAAAATAATGATTACATAAGGAGATTTGTAGTTCGTAGTACTGTCGTGCCAAGAGAAGTCGTTTATGCGGAGACTGGGAACTAGGAACGTTTCGTTTTGTCAAATAATCCTTTGCGCGCCGTTAAGTCGAATCAGCTCAGTGGTAGCATGCACATGTAGAACATGCCACACATGCACCGTGATAGTTCTATATCCGCTCATGATGATAGCTCATAAGTATGGATGCGACCAATGGAGTTAAATTTACTCAACCTGGTGAAATAACATTAAAGAGAGTTAAATATACTCTACACTGCAAGTAGTTTTTACTTCAAAGGTTTAAAGATCGACTAAATATCGATCAGTAAAATTCTCCAAAAGAAGTTCAACCTCACTATGCAGTTATTGATAATTTGCAAAGGGAACTACCCAATGCATCTCTAATTGCATTGAGGGAACAGCAGTTAGTGTTGCTCAATTTTGCACAGAGTTGCCCAAATTATTAAAGTGCATAAATTATGTGGGTTCAGTAATGTTGATTTAAAGTAAACGTTTCGACTGCCATTAATTATGTTTGATAGATTAGAATTAAAAAAATGTCGTTTTTGAAGGCCTAAAAGTGGTTAAAATGCCCGTTTTGGACCTCATGTGCCAAAAATTTGGAGCGATGCAGAAATTTTATGACGTCATTCACGGAACTTGTCAATCAGATATTGTTTCCATTCAATTCCCAGTAAAATTCGAAAATTCTTTTTAATTCCGTAAACTTCAAGAAGAATACGATTCATTCTCCAAAATTCCCGATCGCAATAGTCGACACTTGTGGTAAAAAACATAAATAGTTGTTGCTATTTCCTAGCACAAAATTCAGTAATTCGCGCCCAGCGACAAAAGGCAATTTGACGCCAAAAGGGACAAGACATACACATTAATTTTGTGAGTAATAAGAGGAAAACAAGCAAAGCTCTTCTTCCCGGAAGAGCTTGAGCGAAGCTTTTTGCCCGTCCATACTCATTGCAGTTTGCCCGTCCATACTAATACACTTTGCCTATAGCAAGATATGATCGCGTATAGCTACTCCATATTGATTTCGCGAAGTTTGCCCGTCCGAATATGAAACCCTTTTATTCTAAAATAGGGAAAGTTCGCCTAACTGTCGCGAATTTTGCCCGTGAGATCTTTTTATACTTTTGCTAGTTTTGCAAGTTTTGCTTTTTCTCATTTTTTTGTTTTTAGTCCCATTTTTTTTTCGCTTTTATAAATACAAAATTGTTTTTTAAAACATGCATTTAGTTTTCCAAGTGCGAAATAAGAGGAGATGACGTAAGCCGAGAGAAAGTCAAGCGATACTGTCGTCTGTGATTAGATTAAGATCCAAAGAGGACCTTTCCAGATAAAATTGACCTGCAGTTCATCTATGAGAGCCGCGGACGTACTTACGCTATCTCTTGTGTATTTTATCACCGAGTTAAGTATGCGGTTATAATGAAATACTTTGAGGCATTATTTTCTACATTTGGCGTGTTCGAATAGTACGCTCGGCGTTTAAAAAATCCAAAAAAGATTCCAGAGGATAGTGGACGTTTTACCTATTATCTCAAAGGTATACATCAACGTTAGAACACTCTTTTACTGGCCTTCTCCATGTCTAAAATGCAGTCAATAAATCATAAGAAGTGAAGAGAGACGTGTATCAAAATAAAGTGTCGCGCGCCCGAGTCGGGTATCATTGATTGATATCTCTATAACTTTACCAATCTACGAATCTTGACGAGGTTCCCTGCAGGCAGGTGTAACCAGAGATCATTAAATACTGCGAACATTGCCTTTATTCGCTACATTATTACTAGCAATGGCTTCTGTACTGATGCCAGTTCTTTTTCTCTGTTTGTTTGCTTCTATGGCACTTACAACAGAGTCAGCTTTCCGCCTAAGAAGCCATTTTCAAGGCTGCAGAACACGTAATGATATCCATTTTACACGGAAGACTGAAAAGTATTAATAATAAGATGACAATTGTTTTTAATTATGTAATAATTTCTTTTTTGACCATTAAAAGGAAACCTTAAATCACTAGACACCATCTTCAATCGGCAGCCATGTGACTTGTATCGAGATGAATTGGGATTTAATGGTGATGCTGGTAACTGCTGAATACACACGGAGAATAGACACGATTCGTCTGAAAGACTTCTAAATAAAAGTCAAATAAATTAAAACAAGTTATTGTTAAGCATTATTATCATGCATTATATTTAATAAAATTGGTTTGTAAGAGTAAATAAAAATAAATAATCAAATATACGAATAAAATATCATAATGAAAATATCTGATTGAAATGCATGGTGGAAACGGGGATGTGTGCTTCCTAATACAATCTTTAGAGGGAACGATTCCATTTCTTTTGTCGTTATAAGTTCGGCGAAGATGCTGTCCGTACTGTATCCTTTAGACTCTCTAAGTTGAGCCCAGGTCCTAAGCTGAGTTCAAGGCCCAGAAGTCAAGAAAAAGGGGCGCGACTTTAATCCCTAAGAGTTTGCACAACAAATATTGTTAAACTAATTCTGTCTCCGGATAGATAAACTGGGAGAATTGTATAAAAATAATGATTACATGAGGATCAATATTGATTTGTTTGTTTGTTTTTTGTTTTTTGTTTTTACTGCCAAATACTATATTTATATCTAAGGTACAAGGCTTGTTATTGAAGGCAGCCTTTTTCATGGTTTGAAAATAATAAGGAATGACATAAGCGCGAGGAACTATTCCTCTGATAAAGTTTAGATCACGCTGGAAATTTTCCGTAATGAGGAAATCGTCCAGTTCATTATGAAGTGCCGTGGTCGTACATGAGTTGTTTCAGCATATTTTATCGGTGATTTAAGAATATTGCCGTTCTAATATAATTGCTATATTTGCATGACCCATTCATTCAGCATTAGTCAAAAAAATATTTTATTTAAAGAACAAAAACAAAACAATAACTTAATTTACAATCCTTATTTTCTGTACAAGAATGATTGTGATCAAGAAATCTGTTCATTTTAACGAATGACATGCCCGGAAATAGGGAAGTCGAAATGGGTCATTTCTTATCCAAATTCAAATTAGATTAAGATTCCAAACGGGACTTTTCCAAGAACAAACTGACCAAAGCATCAATGAGATCCGCGGAAGTACTTACGTTGTCTCTTGTGTAATTTTACCAGGCAGTTCAGTATGCGGTTATTATCAGTTTCTTGGAGGTATCAATTGTGATATTTCGTGGACGAATAGAACTTCCCGGCCCGGCATTATGAAATCCGAAATGAGTAATTGTTTCGACCCAAAAATAGAGGATGGTGGGCGCTAACACGTTTTTTCAACTCCACTGCACTCTGGTTTGTCGTATTAACTCAAAGTTATACATTAACAAAAGAACAACATTTTACTGGGGTTCTCCAAAAGTCTAGTCCATAGTAGTTTTTCAGAACTGAAGAGAGGCGCTTTTCAAAAAAGGTGTCGCCCAGATCGGGTATCACCGATGATATCAATATCAATCTACCAATCCTGTCGAGGTCCACAAACAGGTGTGACCAAAGTCCATTAAATAACGCGAACATTGCCTTAACTTGCCACATTACTAGCAATGGCTTCTGCAATGAGGGCAGTTTTTCTTCTCTGTTTGATTGCTTCTATGGCAATTACAACAGAGGCAATGTTGAACGCTGCTAGGAGAGCTGCTCAGACAGAAAAGACAAAGAAAATGGTATGCCAGTAAACAACTTATGGGTGACGTTTTGACTTTTTTTTTGCAGTTGTTGTTTTTTCGTGTGCAAAATAGTCAACAAGAATCATTCTAAGAGCTTTTATAATGAGCACGTACTCTTTAGCTTGGAGTTGACAACGCAATCTTGAAAGACCAATTGGTAAAATGGATAAAAAGGCTTCAGCTGTTCGAGAACCGAAAATCACAAAAGTTACTGATGAAATGTTTTTTTTAAATCATTTCTAATTAAATGAAAACTTTTTCATAGTAATAATCTAATTGTTTTTTTTTTTTTTTACCTTTAAAGGGAAGAAAGGGAAACCTTAAATCACCAGAAGCCATCTTCAATCGGCAGCCATGTGACTTGTATCGAGATGAACTGGAATTTAATCGTGATACTGATAACTGCTGATTTAATACACACCAAGAATGAACACGATTGGTCCGAATAAAAGGCAAAGAAATCAATCTGGAAAGTTATTGTTAAGCAGTATTATTCTGCGTTATATTTAAAAAAATATTAAATAAATGAACAATATAAAAACATATGAATAAAATATCATAAAGAAAGTATTTGAATGAAATTGTCGGTTGGGAACGGGGGATGTGGGCTTGCTTAAATAATCTGTAGAGGAATCAATTCCCTTGTCCTTTTCGACCTATTGTTTCACGAAAACAATTAATTAACTCGGGTACAACTATACACTGTCTTAATGGGACCTTTCAGATTTAGCAAGTTTGGTGAAAATGCTGTCATGCGGTATCCTTTAGTTTCTTTCGGACTCCAGATAGATAGACTGGGAAACAAATAATAATAGTACTCTTTGTAAACTCCTGAAACTGGCATGATGAATGTCCATGTTTGTACCGATACGTCTATTAAAAGCTTTTTTAAAGAGTAAAGCAGGGGCAATTTATTATTGATCCTGGCTGCAATTTTCACATTTAAACGGGGAAACTTTATATAGTAATAACAATTAGATGGGTAGATTTGTGGTCGGTTAGACTATCAAATTCTACATACATGTACTATATGAATGGTCCACACGATATTTCACTTGAAAACATGCATTTTGGCTTTCACATATTAAGGAATGACGCAAGCGCGAGGAGTTGTCTCCTCTGATAATATCATAAAGGGACATTCAGAAAGATAAAATCTACCAGTTCATAATGAAGAGCTGCGGACGTACATAAGTTGTCTCTTGTGCATTTTATCAGTAAAGTAAGTATATCAGGAGTTCAAATTGCTATAATTCGCATAGCCTATTCATTACAATTATTACTGTTACTTATCAAAAGAAACAAGTCATTATTTCTAATTCACAATCATTATTTTCTTAATTACAATAATCGGAATAAACAAATCATGTACATTTTACAATTTTGTTTATCAATATGGCTGTTATCAGTTATTTGGTGGTATTCATTTCAATATTTCTAGAGCGAATGGACCGCCCTGCAATAGGGAAGTCCAAGTTGGTGTTTGTTGGTCTAAATTAGAATTCGATGGAGCGCACCCTCTTTAATTATGCTATGGTGCAGCAGTGGTGATAACAGAGCGTTACAAATGGGGGAGGTGGGGACGGGGTGTTTAAATGGTGTAGATTCATTGCTGCGGGTGAAATTTATTTTAGAAAACGCTGCTTTCTTTGCTTGAATGAGTCCCATTTAAACCAGTTTATTTATTCCTACATTCACTCTTTCACAATTTCTGCTTTATATTTTTGACCCTTAAAAAACGGTGTTGTTGGCCATTCTATTCAGTCCCGTCCTCTGGATCCTTCATTGTGAATCGATATTTTTTTCATAGAGTTCGGTTGCATTTCTGGTACTTAATTCTCCATATGTAGTGGCAAATCCATAGCTTATCCGTAAAAAGTGATCAAAATATAGCGTTATAGCCCAGATCGGGTGTCATTAATGATATTAATTTAACTTAACCAATTGAATCTACAAATCATGTCGATGTTCTCAAACAGGTGTGGTCAGAGTCCATTAAATACCGTGATCCTATCCTTAATTTGCTACATCATTTACAACGGCTTCTGCAATGATGGGAATTGTCCTTCTCTTTTTGTTTGCCTCTATGGACTCTATGGTATTTACAACAGAGGCATACGCGCKGTTTGCTAGAGAAGCTGTCACAGGCAAGCGTAGTCGAGCGGCAATGAAAGTGGTATGTTTTATCAACTCAATTCCACGCAAACCCGGCAATGTCAAAGTGGGCACAAAAACCACATGCATTTTAGTTTAACAATTTTATTCAGTCTTTGACTTAGAGCTAAGAGCTCGCTCAAGATCAAAACTAAATAAACTCGACTGTTTATAAACCAAACGTCACAAACCAATAAATGCGACGCACTAACTATACTATTTCTATTCAGCCTCCTCCTTCTTCTCATTTAAGATTTTGCCCGCATCAGACTTCAAAACTACTGATAAAATGTTTTTAAAACGATTTGCAATTATTTTTTAACCTTCAAAGGAAAACCGCAGATCACTAGAAGCCATCTTCAAACGCCAGCCATGTGACTTTTGTCGAGATGAATTAGGATTTATTGATGTCGATGAAAACTGCTAAGACGCGAAATATAGAGACAATACAGCCTACCAAATAAACAAAGAAAAATATTGTGTTAATGTAAAGCAATAATGTTGTGCGGTATATTTATTATATATTGGGTTTGGAAATAAATAGCATGTGATAACGTATTTGTACTCTACTTATTATCGTATTAGTTGTCAGGAGAAGCCGACGGGGTCTGTTCTTCTAAAAACTGTTCTTGTACGAATTTTTTCCTGGGAAAGGGATTTTGAACTACATTGTTGACAATCTCACCAGCGCCCTTTCTTCTTTAAAATAATTTTGTTCCTGGCAAACGTTTTAAATGTCACAAAAGGCTTATATTTTTTAAAAGCTAGGAAATTTTTATTTTCCTGCCAAAAATTATATGAAAGTATTCCTTGTCTGGAGAGTTCTTTTTTTCCTTAATTTCTCTCTGGCAACCAGTTGTGACTTACAGCTGGTTGTGACATAGGAACAGATATATTTCTCCCAGAAACCCGTCGGCTCCTCCTGGGTTGTCAGGGCAATCGGACAATGCAAGAGCAAAAGTTACAAAATGTGTATTGACAGCAATATTGTCTGTCACTATTGTTTATTAATAGAAGATCAACAATAATTATTTGGTTTGCCTTTGTCTCTCAGTCAATGAGTGAATATTATCCAACAAAAGTATGATATAGAGAGGAGTGACGCCTTCGGCGCAATCATTATTCAGCTCTGACCGTTTTTGAAATAGCAATATTTATATAACAAATATATTGTGTGTTTTTTTGTGGAATAATGGGATGCCTCCAACCTCTATTTTTTTTTTCTGGCTCTTGTTTCAAAGTAAGTAGTTATCCCTGCTATATATGGAAAGACTTAGGTATTGTTTACATGAATCTGTAAGATTCGTGCAGGTTCCCCTATTTAGCACAGACGCTTCTTTCTATTTAAATCACCGCATGATGGCAGATAAGAAAACAAGGGTGTCAGGCCTTCAACCAACTACAATTGCTGACAAAATACTTTGACCAATCGAGCGAATTTCCTCATTTTAAGCAACAACCGCAAATATTTTCATCACCCCCCCCCCCCCCCCCCCCTATAGCCCTTAAGTGCAATGTTGTGATGAGCATGCTATACCATAGTACACAGTACACAACCATCCAAAACAAGACCCAACGTTGATGAAAGATTATAAATGTTCCCTATCATATGTAAATAGGTTGGTCTTATGTGAACAAGCCCTTTTTCAGAATTAGCAAGCTCTTCTGAACTCAATTCTGTTCAAATTCTAGTATAGTCTATCCTATTAAAATAGTAACTTGCCGCAAAAGGATTTTGAATTTTTGAATTTAATGCAAGTTCGTGGCCTGCTGTTGTCCTATAAAACATTACTGCATCAGTTTCGTCTATATTGTAGGTAAAAACAATTGAATGTCATATATAGATTGAGTTATAGAATTTAACAGATCATTTTCGAATCACAGAATTATATCAATCTTTTTCTAAATATGCCGCACAAAAAGGTAAGTGAAAGCAATGCTTAAAATTATACTATCGTCGACTCTGATTAGATCTCGATCAAAAAGGAAACTTCCCAGAAAGATTAACTCATAATGAAGAAGTGCTGACGTACATAAGCTCTAGTTTGTGAATTTTATCAGCGATAGAATATAGCTTTGTTGACGAAATGTGCCGCCTTGTTTAATATGTATGGAACGCTCTGGAATGGACATTTGGTAAACTTTCTTTATCTTTACGCGTTTTTGACCCATTATAAAAGTATGGTAGACGTTAACATGCTATCTGCACTTCTTTATGAATGCAATTGTGATTTTTTTTTTACTCTATTCGTTTGCATTTACTTATTTCGGGGGCGTAGATTAAACTATGTCAGCGAATTCCTCAAAAATAAGCTGATCTTCTTCGTTTAGCAGTCATATAGTAATCGTACCATATTTGGAAGTAAATACGACGTCGTTTCATTGACAATTATTTCTCGAATTTGAAATGTGTAAATCGCCTGGAACATGCAGATATTACACTGAACAGGTTTTTCAACGATCCACCGGCTGCACTGGAATAAATTATACACTGGAAACCCTGTAAGTATGCTGGGAATACGATGTAAATGTTTTTAAAGGTCACAATTTCTTCTATTTTTAACTTAGGCCAGGGTAACGTGATTTTAATCCGGTTAATGAATAACGTTCCTGGCGAGACAGCAGTGGCTGGTACAACAAGGACAGCGGTAATAAATTCAGCAACAACCGCTTGAGTAACGATCATTTGGATGAATTTCGTAAAATCAAGTGCTTTTTAGTGTCTAAGACGACATTTCAGTGTATATTTCAGATAAGTAAAACTTTACAATTTGTTATCGACTATCTTATGTTGGATAAATTAAGCAATTTTTGGATCTTATAGGTCATAATTTCAGTTCTAGCGCCCTTGGTCTGTTTTAGAGGAAAACAAAAAATGCGAGGACTACTTCCGTCATGCTTGTTTGCACAAGATCGCTGGTCTTAGCCTATTAAATGATTATAAGTTATTAGCACCAGGGATCTCCATATGTGAAAATAGAGGATCCATTACTAATCAATAGAGACTTGCATCATACATACGGGTATCTCTTATCGATATATATATCAATTAACCTTAACTAATATACATATACGTTTGGTTCTTCAACATCTACTGATTGTTTAGATTCCTTTATTAACTACTGTGATCACATAGTCTTACTTCTCTACACTAGTATCAATGACTTTTTGATGAAGGGAACTTTTATTATTATTTGAAATAGAATACCTATCGAGTACCTCTATCTTACATACAGTCGTCGATCACACTACTTTTTTAGCACTCGGAAGACCACCAATGGCACCATGCAAGAAGCACACGTATCACACAGGTGAAAAGTTGTCACACAGCAGCGTACGTAGCTATTAGCAGAATTATTACACAACAGCACAAGTGACTCTCTTATGTAGCACTCGTTAGTACATGTCCCATATTGCACGTACGTAGAACACACAGAACACGTAACCACTCAGTAGCACACTTTTATAACACGTGCGTTACGTGTAGCATACGTAGAACTCACCTGGTGGCACTTGTAGTACAGTGAGCGCTCGCGTCTTGAACAGAGCGCCTGTCGATTTACAGCGACAGCACATAAAACACTACGAAAAACTTCATTTTCTCAAAATAGAAATGACAAGATAAAAATAGAAACTACATACCAAAAGAACATATCATGAACAAAGATTGATAATATGAATTTTATATATCGGTGAACGAGCTTATAAATTGTAAAAAACTTTCACAAAAATCGCTTTACAAAGAAAATTAGGCAGATTTCAGCGGGAAAGCTGTGGACATGCGTAGTGCGCTTTTTACCAGTGTCATTACACGTAGCACAACGCATCAACGCGTCGTTTGACGTGGGACACGTAGCACATGCCGCATAATACGTATGACTCGCGGTAGTACAAGTAGCACTCGGTAGTACTTGTAATACGTAACTTTAAATTTTAATCGTTGTTTGTGTAATCGGTTCATAACACATCGTTTCAGAAATGTGGTGATCGGCCAGTGGGACTTGCATGCGGATGTTCTTCTCCGGAAATAATCTGTTGCATATTTTATCGATTTTATATCTTCATAAACAGTGAGAGTGCTTTTGTAGTTTCGCATCTAGCTGCTCTTAGGACACGTGGTCGAATGAGATATAAAGTGATATTTCAATATCCGTTTCCTTAAATCCGGGACAATGATATAGGATAAAAGTTATCGGCTAGGTATTTGAGAAAATAAGAATGAAATAAATTTTCCAGTCTTCTTCTTCTTCTTCTTCTTCTTCTTCTTCTTCTTCTTCTTCTTCTTCTCCTTCTCCTTCTTCTTCTTCTCCTTCTCCTTCTTCTTCTTCTCCTTCTTCTTCTTCTTCTTCTTCTTCTTCTTCTTCTTCTTCTTCTGCTGCTGCTGCTGCTGCTGCTGCTCAAAAAATTGACAATTTAGTTGTGCTGTTGCTCGATTCTGCCTTGCTTTGATGCATACAAATGCTCCTCGCGAAACATGTTCTCTAGCCGCCAAAAGTCAATTGTAATTAATGACATGGATAGGTAAAGTCGATCAGATCTCTTAGTAGTATTACTAAGTATTACTATCTCTCATAGTATTACGGATACGTAAATTGACAATCGATATTGAGGTAAACCAATCTATAACCTGTTGAACAAGCCCACAGAAGTAGGTGTCATTGGCCATTAGAAAGCATTTGATTTCAAATAAGGTGATCATGGTGCCTTATATATTTGACTGTCACTTGCTGTCCAATTGCTGCCAATTGTATAATATTCTTTGTGGTAAAGTAAAATAAGTCTCATGAGTGAATAATAATTTTGAAGACTTAATTCGATAAGGTCAACCTCGGTAAATAGGATGACATACCAAGCGAGAAACTATGATAAATTTGTTGATATGGCTGCTGACTCGATTAATCGATATCCTGTTAAATCTCAAGCAGGTGTGGGCACAGAACTCGTTATATACGATGGCCATTACCTTAATTTGCTCACATTCGTAACAATATGGCATCCGCATTAGTCGGAGTGTTCCTTCTCTTTTTCTTTACGTCTCTGGTAATTACTTCAGATGCAATCACTCGCATATCCAGAGAAGTCTGGGGACGACGACGTGCTGCGAGGAAAAGGGTACGCTGTTTATTAAATTCAACGTTAACATAGTTATTGTAGGGGAGATTTGACCATATATTTTTGGTCTAAAATGGTGATATTCTTATTATAATGATGATTGAATTAATAAGATATCAAAAAGAGAATTAAACTTTTAAAAAATAGTAAAGAGCTATGAGCGTAAAAGGACAATAAATGACGAAAAATGATAAATTAAAATCAGATGAATTTTCAGTTCCAGGGAAACCAGCACTCAGCTATCGACAGCCGACAGGTATGTGACCTCTATCAAGGAAGAAGATCATATTCATGCTGAAGGCACAAGGAGGAAAGTCCTATAAGTCAGAATTGCAATTTATTTATAACTAGAACAACCGAGTCCTCGATACATACAAGTAAAAAATCAAGCCGCCAATGGCAACACAACTCGAAGATTGATTATGCAGACGAATACAGAAAGAT